GATTCCTCCTCAAATCCAGCGTTTCCTTCTCCTGTTTCCCTTTAAGTCGATTTGATAACCGAATCACGTCTTTCATGTAACTCTCCACTTCGTTGGCCAATCCGTCCAAATCTTCCGAGCCGGAAGGTCGGTCTTCGAGCCAATTGACTTCCGCAACGAGATACGGCTTCGTTCGGACGACGTTGGTGATACGGAACCGTTCCTGGCCTTTACATATGAGGAAGAAGCGGTCGTCGACGAGGCGTTCGTGTTTGACGATCTCGCCGACGCATCCGACGTCTGCGGTACCAGTGACGGAGTCGGAGTAAATGACGCCGAAGCGGAGGTCGGTGTGGAGGAGCGTGTGCATCGTAATGCGGTAACGGAACTCGAAGATCTGGAGAGGGAGGATGGCGCCGGGGAAGAGAACCAAAGGGAGAGGAAATATGGGGAGCTCTACCACGTCGTCTGATTTTGGGTGCTCGGTGTGGTGATTCTCGGGGAAAGAGGAAGCCGAGCAACGGAGAGTGTTGAGCCTGTGAAACCTGCGCGATTGAGAAAGAGAAGATGATTTCGAAAAGGGCTTGAAAATGGGGTATGGGTTGGCTGCGTGAGGGTTTATGGAAGGTTGGTGAGTGAGCGAAGAAGAGTGGGAAGGAATTAGCTGAGGGAGAGCCATTGAAGAAAAAGCAGAAAGTGTTTGAAGTTTCGCCTAAACGAAATTAAAAATAAAAGAGAATTAAACCGATATTAGCCCCATTTGTGGAAAAGAAGGATAGCTATTATCTTGGTTTATTAGTAATTTAGATGATTCATTTGATATTGAAATCTAGTAAATCTAAAGCTTAGGAAGAAAAAGAGATTGTGAAGAATTTGGTAAGGATTGTGAGTTATGATAAGGATTGGATATTCTTGCGGGGTAGAAAAAATTTGGGCATGAAAATGTGGAGTGAAGAAGCCCACGTGGGACTTAACTTTTCTGCATTCTGGCATTGGACTGGACAGCTCTGGTGGTGGTGCCGCCTGTTTCATCTTTCATACGTCGTTTTCTATTCGAATGCAAGAGAAAAAAATCTTTTTAATTGGGATAATGACTAATTATTTCCATACTTTTATTCAAAAGGTAATTAGAGATAATCTTCTTTTAGCATCATTGCAAGGATTAATCAAGTATTAGATAAAATAATCTTCTTTTAGGTTACAATAATATTTTTATCTTTTAATATTTTTGTATGATTTTTATTTTAAATTATTAAAAACTTCAAGTTAAAATCTAAATACGAGACTAATAAATTTACATACAAATTTCTTACTACTTCATTTATATAATTATTTATTAAACGTTTTTCTCAATGGTTTATTATATGAAACGTGTTTAATTATTTATGCCATAGATGTGATAAAATCCAATACAAATAGGAATTTAATCTATTTTTCCAAAAATAATTTTAATTTTTTTATTAAAGAATTTGAACAGTCCAAAAATGAAGAAAATGGATACCGTTAACATGGTAGTACAAAATAAAATTTCATAAGTAGGCCTCCAACTCCAAATCCAATAGAGAAAAATACAATTGGCCTTTAACGAGGAATGGGCTTTATCTTGAGCTTCCCTAAAGAATGACGTGTTTCCTCCTGAAAGCAAAGCAAGCACTGGGAGCTAGCAGCAAGGCGACCCCTTTTTACCTAAATATCAGTATGTTTTCGGTCTGTCCGGTTAAGTCATCGGTTCAAAAATAATAATGGTTTTATTTTCTTACATTGTCGATTTGTTTGATTTTAATCTTTCAACCTTTAGCTCCCGTTAATTCATTAACAGATATTTAAGTTGAAAATTAAAAAATAAAAAACCTCCACGTTAAACCATTCATCATCTTCTTCTAAAATACCCTTAGACTAAAATTATGCGAGTAAAAGAACAGAAATACCAATATGCAACTCTTCATCACAAGAAAACAAACAGTAAACTAATTGCATTCATATGAACATGTAAAGAATCACTTCTGGCAACTCATAAGAAGCCTATAAAATAAAAAAGACGGTTCACTCTTTACAACAACCCTAGACAAAGTAAAAAAGGAGGAAAAATCTTCAAGCTAATTGCATGTACTTTAACCATAAACATTATTTCAAATCACTTGAAGTAGCTTCAACAAAAATATACATACAAAAACTGATAACTCTTAAACGAAGGAATGATATAAATATTGAACAAACAAACCTTAAAATTGTACCCAAGCATGTATGTGAAGCACTGATTTGTAGCCAAGTCATTTAAACTTTAACAAGGAGGATGCAAAATTTGTTAATTTAGTGGTTAGGCATTTTAACCGTCAGATTGACAAGTAAATGGGAACCATAGTTTCCTCTCACTGTTATCGTTGCCGCCACTTAATAGGCCTCTACCGCCGCTTGAGTTTCGCCTCCATCGAGGCAATTAGCCTGGGTCATTACCGCTGTTTAATTTCTCACGACATTCGTCGTTTTTAATCGCCTCAGTAGTCATCAACACGTTACACAACCAATGTCGTTCAAAGAGTTCACCATCGCCAACACCGTTGGCTGAACTGTCCAACCACCTCGCTGTTGAACCACCATTCTCAAAGCCTTCATCGTTAACTTCTCCATTCTAAAATATTCATTTTTCCCTTGTGAATCATCGCAACTATTACTCAAGACTGTTACTGGATAAATCTTTTACTATTTTTTCGAGATCAGAGTAGCCGTTGTCGTCGGATTATGATGTCAGTTATTTGATCTCTAATATTCATCCTCTTGATTTGTATTCACTTGTTGATGTTGGAAAGTATAACAAAAAGAAAAATAAAAGATGAAAACCCCTGTAGTTGCATGTTGAATCCATTGTCGTTTGGGACAGCAGATTGACGTTAGTTGTCGCGTTCGTCGCGTCTTTGCGGCTTATAGAGTTTTCATTGTTCAGTCTCGAATGTCATTGAGATTGTTTTTCGGGCATGGGTTCTCGCCGGTGAACCAATTGTGTCTTGAACTAAGGGATTCCCAATCTTTTAGGATGACATTTGAAAGTAAAAATAATAATAATTAATATATAATAATAATTATAAAGTAGGGTAAATGCGAATTGGATGATGATTTTGATATCAATGGTGATAATTTGGCCCAGCTTCATGTTGCTGTTAATAATGTTAAAGCTTTTGGATTGTGTACCTATTTAAGAAGTAGAAGTTTATATTTTAATTGTCAACTCTGATTTTCGTTGATGGATTAACATAAATTAATAGTTAAGAGATCAAAAGTGAACAAACCGATGACATAAGGAATTAAAATTATTTTCTAAATTAATACAATACTTTGATTAGTTTTTAAAATGAAACTTTTAACGTCAATAATCTCTGAGTAAGTAGTTAAAAATTCTCAGTTGACATCTATTCTTTCTCTTAGATTGTGAGTTAAATATGTATTAGGAGTAAAATTGTTCTTTCCTTCTCCTAAATAGAAATTGTTCCCAAAAAAAATCCTTTCATCGCACATAAAATAAAAACATACCATTTTATTCATATCTATTAAAAAATGTATTTTGTTCTACGTGATAACATATGAGATTTGAAAGATATCTCAAATCTAAGTGAGAGACATTATCTCAATTTAAATGAAAGACATGACTAATAAAACACGTCTAACACGAAATTATATTAACAATTATTATAAATATAAATATATATATTATAAACTTAAATTAATTTGGTATAGTTGAAATTCTAAAATATATTATAAAAATATTGTTTGAAGAAAAATAATTAAAAATAAAGGTTAATTTATGGAATAATTTTTTATTTGTGATATTTAGGTAGAAAGGATGCGTGGCGTTATATTTTTATTAGGTATAATTTACAATTACCGTAATCCCCTTTAATAATAATAATAATAAAGACAATTACCGTCATCCCCTGCAACTTGTTGGTGTCGTGTTCTCATATAAATGGAATGGACGGAACTATTTCAATTTTCGCCGACGACCTTTAAAAGCTTGCGTCACTGACATATGAGAAATCGCCGCCACGTGTTTCGTAATGACGTTTACAAATGGCATTCTCATAACAGGATTCTTAACTCCCCTATATAAAGGAATTGTGTCGTGGAATTCAAGGAGCAAAGAAAAGGTATCTGCTTCTGCCGTTTAGTCTGCTTCTTTGTTTGACAGGAAAGAATCGAAGGGAAAAACATGGCGGCAGAGGGACAAGTGATCAGCTGTCACACTGTTGATTCATGGGAACAGCAGTTTCGGTTAGCAAAGGAGTCCAAGAAACTGGTAAAAATCTATGCTTTGTTTGTTTCATGGATATGCCATTCTTTTTGTTCCAGTTCATCAGTCACTAATGTTTTGGCTTTTCACCAATTTCTGATGATTTTCTTCTTTCTTTTTCCCCATGATATTTGAAAAGCTTTATTATGCTTAATCAAATATTTTGTTGGATAGGTGGTGGTGGATTTCACAGCTTCATGGTGCGGGCCATGTCGTTTTATTGCACCAGTCTTGGCAGATCTTGCGAAGAAGCTGCCCAATCTCATAGTCTTGAAGGTGGATGTGGATGAATTGAAGGTATCGTCTCTTCAGCCTTTGCTTCTTATAATACAGTGTGAATTTAGCTTCTTGATTTGTTTAAACTTGACTGAAGCAGAGGATGGTAGAGGTAGTTATTTTACTTTATTGGCCATTTTATGGTTTTGTTTATCTCAGACTGTGGCCGAAGGTTAGGATGTGCAGGCCATGCCAACTTTAATTTATCTCAAAGGAGACAATGTAATTGACCGGACAGTGGGGGCAAGGAAAGATGAAATCGAGCAGAAAATAGTCATGTACTCTGCTGAAGTTGATGCTTAAAGTATGGAATAAATGCTCAGTTCTACTTCGTCAAGTTTGAAGTTGTTTCTGAAACTAGAGTCTCATAAATATCCGTCTTTCTGATGGATACTATGTGGTTGTATTGTGTTTGTGTTATCCACTGTTTGCTTCTGCTTTTGTATCTGTATGGTATCAGATATTATATTAAAATCCTTGCCTGTTTTCTGAGCTTAGAATCCAGTGCTCTACGCTGAACTTCCCATTTCTTTACAGATCATTCATAATCACACATGGTGAATTTGTTGATGGCTGCCCAATTAAACAATAGTGAAATAAAATCTAGACAGTGAAACTGGAATATTTTTTCCATCCATATCCATATCCTTACTCCTCTTTCTTCTTCTTCTTCTTCACAGCTTTCTCACTTGTGATGTTGTCCAGGTAATGTTTATAAAACCGATCTCCTCACAAGAGAGATTTTTGATGCATCTCCACCTAGTTCTTCAAAGACTACCAACAAATTTCGTGTTGGCTTTAGCCATGATCTCGGAACGTGGTACCTAAAATATCCAGACAATAAAGAGTTTAGGAGGATTCGTATTTTATGCTAGGCCTAGACATTTATGGAGTTTAAGAATGATGTAATACCATCTTTGGGTGGGCTGGCCACAACCACTCTGGCACTTTGTAGGTCGGAATGTCCCCAAGTAACTACAAGTACTGCAGTCACCCTTTGCATAAGCCATCCAATATCTTCCTAAGCTCTGTCCGTTGATCCATACCTGACCTTTTCCCATACTCCGCATATCCAAAGCCAATGGTTCATTGCCTCCCGGGGCATTGAAATATACCTACAATAATCCAAGCCATGATTAGCTTCTCACAAAAATAAAACAAAAACAATAAACCCCTGCAGCATTTTTACCTTGTACCATGTCATAGACTGCCGGCTCCGTGCAGCTAGTGAACCCCGAATCCATTCGACAGATGAGAGTCCCTTTGGGGAAACCAAATTCATTGATTCTCCTTTTAGGCCAACCTGTTCGAGAGTAGTTCTCTAAGCAAAATGTAACTTGTTCTGGAATTCATAATGCATCATTGAAACAGGCAAATAGTAGTTTTTGGCAAAAGAATGCAAGTTGTCAAACCTGGTATGACCATTTCTGCCACGTTAAGTCTTTCTTTCGTTGGTCAAGACCATGCAACGAAACACTCTGGATTCCAGTTTTCCATGTCTCGTAGTGCACTCCAACATTCTTCACGCCACCATAAATTCGTGTCAATAATTGAAAAACTTTATAGTGTATTGAGTTTAAAGTTTTAGTATGGTTCAAATGTAAATGAATAGTCCAAATATCCATAAACGCATGGTCGAGCAACTAACCTGCAATCCAACAGCTACACTGAGAAGTGCAATGCGATTTGTTCCCGCATGTAGGTTCGCTGGTCCTGTATATGTGAATGCCCGGTCTTCCCTAGTTCCATATGCAGACCCTGTAATGTTTACGCTTTAGTAAGACTTATGCAGATATAATAGTACACTGCTCTTATATGTAATGTAGGTTAACCGTTTTACTTGATGAGTAAATCTACAACTAACCTGAGAGCTGTCCATTGATGAAGACATGAAGAGCATGGCCAGCTGAATCCACATTGAGAGTGGGTTTTCGTCCTCCTCTTAGAAATGATTCCGACGGACTAATGTCAACACTGGAATGAAATTTAATCAAGAAGAAAAAAAATTATGAACCTGTTGCCTTGACCGATTTAAACTAAATATTAAATCTCAAGTGTATCAAAATGCCTACCTGGTAGTGTACCACAGGTAGTCACTTTTATCTCTTGTAACATTAATCTGATCCAAGAGTCCAGGAGCCGTGGTTGTTGAACTTTCCCCTAGAGAAGAAATGTCTTCATCATAAGCTTCCCATGATAACATCTTGGAGTTCGTCGGCAACATTTGGATTCGCGAGGTTTTAACCCCAACCTTGTTGCACATAGGATAACTATATAAGTACTTCCATAAGAAACCAAAAGATTTAAACAAATTAGCTTTAAACTACATTAAAACAGTGGCCTCTGAATTTACTTACTAATGCAGTGTTAAACGCCACATGTTTGCAGTCAGGAAGAATGCTAATAGACCAAGGGGGCAAATCGTAGTGCCTGTTATTAAAAGTCACCCTGGCAGCAGATTTCATATGGTAATTAGAGAGAAAAGCTGCACAGCTTCCTCCCCTTGATGAGAATACATGGGCCTGAAAAGTAATCATTACTATCATTGTCAGTGGAAAATTCTTTCTGCAAATTATCTACTATCACCAACAGATGAATAAAGAGTAATCATTGAGTTGAAAAGCTTACCTGGTGATAGGTTCCTAATGAAGTAACAGTAGGATCCGAGGATACTAAAGCATGTTCACATAGCTTAATAGCCTTGTGAAGCTCCTTCAGATGACTGTATTTAGGTTCCCGGATTAAGCCTAAATGATATAAGCTTGTCAGTCACACTAGTAAGAGTTCGAAGACAAATCTATGAGAATATTGCAAGGAAGAAAAGGAAATGACAACGATATGTGGATTAACCGATTGCTCCTTTCAGATTCAGATAAGGCATGCTTAGATTGTGAAAAATTAAGGGAACATCACAATTTATGGTTTTAGTTACGATGAGAATGAATTTGGTTTCTCACCATATTCGTCGATCGGAGCATCATAGTCGTAACTGGTTGTAATAAATGGTCCACCAGCTGTCCGTCCAAAGTTGGTTCCTCCGTGATACTATCAAATGCAAACACAGGATAAGCTGTAAGATTAACCTGTTGCCGGTAACATGACAAAGTTTCAATTAAAAACCAAAATAAACATGGTAACTAACCATATAATAATTAATATACGAGCCACCTTTTTGTATGAAACGAGCAACAGCAAACGCCAAGTCTTGAACCGGACGCTGGTGAATTGTGCCACCGAATTCTGTAAACCTTCACAATGTTGGGGGAAGAAATATCAGATAAATTAATAGAGAAATAAGTATGTTAACTTTAACCATTCCGAACATCAGCCTAGAGGATCGGCAAGGAAAGTACTCACCAGCCACTCCAAGCCTCGGTCCACAACGTAGGCTTGTAAGGTTTGTTGGGTGAGAATGCATCGCAGTAAAAGCCATTACATGCATTTATCTGAATTCAAAATACGAGTGGAATCATAGTCAAGGTCTTTCAAGATGACATGAAACTGGATAAAGATGAAGAAATGATTGGAGTTAAGCAGATCATAGCTTACCATAGGGTCTGGGGCGTCATCTTCCTTGCACATTACCCATGGGACTCCCGTATTCAGTTCAACAGCCATTTTTGCAGCCCAATTAATGTATGCATGACCAGCTGCTCCAAGTGCCTTACTCTCCGGTCCATATTCATTTTCAATCTGCACAAAAATGAAATAATAGTACTAAAGAGATCAACAAGCTTAAACATAGTAAGCCAATTCAGACCAAAGAATCCACCGTTATTGGCATCGTAGCTAATTTAAGCAAAATCAAAACCACTAAAATTAGAAACCATAAATGCCACAAATAGCAGATATCTCATACCTGAGACAAGATGATGGGGCCACCTTGTGATGCAAAAAGTCTTTCATTCTTCATCATTTGGACAATTTTCTGGGTAAATCCTTGCATTGCTCTCTGAGGGGGGGGGGGGGATGAAACTTAAAAGCCTATTAGTTTTCCATTTTAAGAAATTCAAAGTAACAAACAGACAGAACCGATAGACAAAAAGACACCTTGAAGGGCTCATTATCAGTTCTGAAGCTGATACCAGGAACATACTTTAGCCAAACGGGAAATCCTCTGTAGCAGAGAGAAATACAAAGAGTGTAAACTACTCAACTCAACAAACAGAAATAAAAATACATTAAACTAAATTATAACAAATATTTTACCAAGCATTTACTCTTTAAGAAAGTTAAAAGAATTCTTCAACCAAAAAAGGCAAAGGATCATAAAAATAGTAAGTACCCAAAATTCCACTCTGCACAAACATAAGGTCCAATGCGAAGATGAACGTATAATCCCGATTTTTGCACTGTCTTGATAAACCGTACCAGGTCGTATCTTCCCTCGAAATTATACTGGAAATATATCAAATAAGAAACTCTAATGAAATTTTAAAGAAGTTGAACTGAAAAGAAACATGATGACCCATTAGAGATCTAAAGCAGTACGTTGCCAGGAGAAGGTTCATGACCGTTCCAAAAGACATAGGTGTCGATGACATCCAAGCCTCCGACTTTAGCTTTCTTAATAAGATCCTCCCACATCTACAACCAGGAAAGAAAACAGCCCAAAAATCAGTACTTTATAAAAAGTTTCAGGAGATTTTGTTTTAAAAAAAAAAATCACACACACACAGACTAAAAAGACAATACCTCAGGGGTGCTTCTGGGATAGTGAATGGAGCCGGAGATGAGGATTCTCCTTTGTCCATTGATGAGAATAGCTTTCTTGTCGTAGGTAACGCTGCAGTGGATCAGCTGGGAACTCGCTAAAAGGGCAATGAAGAAAAAAAACAACAGCTTGGAAACTGAGTTAGTTTCCATTTCACTTCAATGACAGTAAAGCGGGAGGGAAATTTTGAGAAATAAAATAAAACTTGAATTGGTGAAGTAGGAGAGAAGTTGGTAAAGACAGTGTTCTACTTTGAAACCTTCATCGTTCTTCTCGCAGTTCACATAAAAGCTCTGAACTCTGCTGTTTTTAAATGTACTTGGGATATGTTACTTGCAGATAGAAAGTCATGGAAGAGTCCTGCACATTTCGGCCATTAAAATATTGCAGTTGGAGTTTTAATGGAATGGAAGTAACGAACAAAAAAGGCACTCCAAAATCATTATTACATTTACACATTTTGCCATTTGCCATTTGCCATTTGCCATTTGCCATTTGCCATTTGCCATTTGCCATTTGCCATTTGCCATTTGCCATGGCAAAAGAGTAGTAGTAGGAAAAAGGAAAATAACAGAGGCTGAACCATAAACTTTGTATTATTAATGTTTTCTACCCTCAAGTTCAATTCAGAATTTGATTTTCGTTTTTGGTTTCTAATTGTGGTGAAGAATCAAGGGATTTTTTTTGTTTTTTATGCTCACTGGTATTAAAAACTTTGAGAAAGACATTTCTGTGTATTGTTAATTTGATGCATAGGGGCTACGATCATTGAATGCTATATGAATGAAACTTGAATTTCAAGTGAAGTATAGTAAATTAGGCATTGCAAATTATTAGATACAATAATAACTAAAGGGAAAGCAATTCATGCTTCTAAATCAAAAGTAGAAACGATAAACAATTCTCTAAAAAGGTTACCATCTTCTATCTATATCTTAAAGCTGAATAATTTCCAATGATTTTTTTATGTTACAGTCCCTTTTTATATTATTATATATTTTAATTATTAGATTTAGACCCTTTTAAACCTAAACTGTTATTTTTTAAGTAAAATTAATTTATTTATCATTATCAACTATCAATTATTTAATAGGATGAAGGGTCAAGTCTCGTAAACAATATTTAAAATTTTAATTTTGATGAGATCTATTAATTGATCAAGTGGTTAAGGATACTCATGTTATCCCACCTTGTGTGAGTTTGAATTTATCTGATTATCTTAAACATGTAATACTTCTTTGTTGAATAAAAAAAATGTAATTTTGATGTTTTAAATAAAGCAAATTAAAATCTAGAGATTCACCTATGATATATTCAGTTAAATCTAAATTTCTTTCAACTTAAATTTTATCAAAACTTAAAATTCTTCAACATTTGTAGCAAATAAATTGACACTTGTCAAGATTTGGTGATTTAGATCAATGAATATTATGTATATATCTTATCTCAATTGACCACACATGCTCTCCAGATTCCGCAACAAATGAGATATGATATCATGATAGAAGAATACCGTGTTGCCTTTGGACACTTGTGTATACATGTGCAAGATCATTTGTGTGCTGTATTATTTCATTTTCTTTAGGGCTCCTTTTTGGATAATGTAGTTTCTCAACCATACCCTTGCAAATAAATTAAATACTATGATTGAGACGATGCCATCCGGCATCTTATCGTGCTTTGTCTGTACATGTGAGGCAGACTCTCCTCTATACCATCTGCCATGTGATGTGCTTTGCTGCCATTTTCCTTTAACTCTAATTTCCTAAGTGAAACCAATAGCAGCTACACAATCCAAATCTCAAAATGGGATTAAATTAAGGTTTCTTAATAATTTTATTATCGAAGTTAAAAGAAAATTATACAGATTAACTGCAGAATAAAGAAAAGCTGTTGACTTGTGCTTTACTCCATCTTGACGTTCTCTATGTTTTCTCCCGTTGCTTCTCTTAAAGAAGAATCTTGGCCCCCCTCCTTAAAAAAAACACAGTTGGCTTAAACATAAGGTACTTAATTAATGTTTTAGGTCAAAATCTGTCAATGTGGATTGGTTGAGAATGGTCACCTTACTTGGCTTGCCCATGTGCACCGTCCCTTGTGCAATTTTATATAGTTTTAAAGAAATAAAATCTAATCACATTTTACTTCTGTCGTCTACAATATTTCATAAAAAATAGAGATCTAAGGTTAGCCGACAACATAACCCTAAGACATCGGGTCCTTGGTTTTGGTGGGTTCTAAGTTCAAACCCCATATTAGATGAACTAATATTGATGCTTTTCTTTCTGCTGCCAACGAAGTTGTTGTAGTTATTAGTGTTTGATTCATGGCCATATTTCCCCTCATATGGGTCCTCCCATTTACCTAATATTTGTAATTTCGTGTATTGTTGGTGCATGCATCACTCCTCACCTAAATTATTTAAAGTAGCAGTTAATGAAAAATTATATGCAACCCCATGCCTTTTTTCCCTTCATAATTATTGCCTTAAAATTTAACATTTTCATCTGGTGGAAGTTAACCTAAAGCGAAGTTTGACGATCAATCATGTAATGTGATGACGAGTATGGCGAATTGGGTGATGAAATTGCAAGCAACTTGGGACCATCTTTTGAAAAAAACAAAACTACTTTATGTACTTGTGGAGGAGCACCGTCAGTGGGCCGTTTGTTTGTTTCCAAATTTCAAGGTGTTTTTCTTCTTCTGAAGTATGAAGTTGTATTGTGTGCCGTTAGATCTCCGTTCCGTTTGCGTCGGCGCAAGCAACATGTTCAAACCTCAAAAGAAACATGCTCGTCCAGTTTTTCTAATGAATTGAAATATTTGTCCTCTTTAACAACCATTTTCACATCTTTGGCTTGGCTCACATGAAATCAGTTTAAAGTATTGCCCTCTTTTCTCACTCCTTGTGGTTAAAAACTCAAATCTCGAGTCTCATCGTGTCATCTCATAAGGCTTTATTAATCTTTGAGTTATTACTTATGTAACGAACTATAACATCATTAAATTAAACTCAATGTAGTTGTTAGCGTGGGTTTAGTCCAACTCTTTACCTTTTAAATGACCTACATGCTAAAGTCATACCACCATACACGTGGCTATTAATGCCCATCATACGTTTGGTTGTTGCTTTAATTAATTACCTAGGTGAAGCCCAGCTAGCAAATGAGCTATGTTGGCGTTAAATTTTACCATTAGATTTTTTTATATATATTTGTTAGTTATAATAAAAGATGTGTTGACTATAGATGATTTATCCTTTTAGTTTAGATGTAGAATTGTAGTTGATGATTACATAATGGGATTGTCTACGAAAATGTGGGTTAATATATTGCTAATATACGGTGTTACCGGATATATTATAATATATTTATAATATTTGGTTTAGCGCTATCGGAAATGGTGAGTAATAATAATGTAGTAGGTTAAAATCATAAAGAAATATTAAAAAAATTGATAACCGGTAAACTTAGCTTATCGGTTTGTATCGATACAAATGAAAAATGAATCGCTCCATAGCAATATTACAGGTACAAATATGACAAAACCGATCACAAAATGACAAAATCGGTAAAACGCTATCATATATATTGAAAGTGTAGATAATTTAATATAAGTATCGAAACTTTCTGAATTTAAAAGAGAAGAAGTTATAGCGCCTATAAAGTGTCGATACTTTAAAAAATATATCGATCTACAACAATATAACAGGTAAAAATATGATAAAACTGGTCTAAAAAAATGACAAAACTGGAAAAAGTTACCGGATATATTGAAAGTGTCGATAATTTAATATTAGTATCGACACTTTCTGAATTTAAAAGAGAAGAAGTTATAGCGCCTAAAAAGTGTCGGCACTTTATGAAAATGTATCGATCCTTACCAATATAACAGGTAAAAATATGATAAAACAGGTCTCAAAATAACAAAACCGGAAAAAATTACATGATATGTTAAAAGTGTCGATAATTTAATATAAGTATCGAAACTTTCTTAATTTAAAAGAGAAGAAGTTATAGCGCTTAAAAAATGTCGACATTTTATGAAAATGTATCGATCCAAAACAATATAACAAGTAAAAATATGATAAAACCGGTCTCAAAATGACAAAACCGGTAAATAGATACCGGATATATTGAAAGTGTCGATACTTTAATAAGTACGCGTAATAAATTATCGATACTTTCAAAGAAATAGGTAAATATCCTATCGAAAGTATCGACACTTGACATAAAAGTATCGACACTTATGTAGTTGTATCGATTAAATATAAATAACATATCCGGTGTAAATATAAAGGCATTGATATCCTCTAAAAATAGATAGAGTTTTTGAAATCGAAGCGTAATTGTTTTTGCATTTCAGAGGGCGTTTCTACGTGAAGTTTTGTTTGTTTGTTTGCAGTCGAATCGAAAGGTACGTTGTTGAAACCCTAGTTTTTTATTATTATAATGGGAAATAGGGTTTTTATGTGTTGTTATTTGGGGGTTTTCGAAGTAAGAAGCATTTGGGACCGAATCGATACTTTTAGTTATATTATAGGTAAAATGATATTATAGGTAGAAAATGATATTTTAGGTTGTATAAATGTGCCGACACTTGTTGTAGTGGCCATTCAGATTTTTTTGAAGACCAACCGTTTTACCACAAAGAGTGATTATTGATTTTTGTATATTGAATAAATTGTATGTAAGCAGTATTTGATTTGATTTGATTTGCGCAAACTGATATATGAAGGAAAAATGAAGTCAATGGGAGGAAAGAAACCAAAGAGTGGATATATGTACTTCTAGTAAGTATCAGTCTTTTGTTATTATTGTTGAAATGGTAATTGGATTAAAACTTTAAATTGATTACAAATTTTAATGTTGACAGTATGGACCGAATGCAAAATGATGAAGGAATGGCACACACGCGGTTCGGTATGTAAAATGAAATTGATATTGAATATTATTTAGCATTAATGATTGATTAAGAAACATTTACGCTTAATATTAGGTGAAAAGATGTGAGGTCAAAATGGAATTCGATGAGTGATGCCGAAAAGGAACCTTACATCACACAGTCAAGGAATGATAATAAGAATACAAAGAACGGATGAAAGCACATGAAAAGAAGTATTCATTAAACTTGTAAATACGTTGAACAAGATATATAAGAACAATAACATTATATATTGTTAAAAAATGTAGGAAGTGTCGACAAGGTGCAGTATAAAAAGGGTGAATTCATTAATTGAACACCTTAAAGAGAAGGATCAGTTGAATGTGCTGAGGGAAAT